AGTTGCGCCTACGAAGAGATCATAGCAGCCGCCATCCTGGGGGGGGGGTTGCAGTTTCATTCGTGGGAGTCGTTGCTGGAAGGTTGCTGTTAAGCCTACGAAAACGCGAGAAAAGCAGCGGGTCTGCTGCTCCAGCTGCACGGAAACGTGCGGGGCAAAGAAGCAATGAAGCCAACCCAGCCCTGGAAAGCAGACGATTAAATCCTAGTTGGCGATGCCCCACAAATGGCACGCAGCAACAAGCTTGACCTAGAAGAAACCAATCAGCCTGGCTTCATGATCTCACCATCATCAAAGTCACGCCCAAAGTGGTAAGTTAAAGAGAAACAACCCCCAGTTACTCACCTTGATTGCCAGAAACAGTCAACTGAATGACCCTCAACTGCGCAGCGATCACAACTCCGGATTTGTGCTCCGGGCATCCCATTGTCCAGGCCTACGAGGGGTCTACGGAGCTCCTCCAAAGAAACAAAGCCCAACGTCACATGCCACATGGGGATGTCCTGTTTGAGGGAACCCTTTGTGGGTGCACCAAAGGAAAGCCAAAAATAAAACACACCAACCAATTTGGGGTTCACCAGATTTTAAGACAGACCCACATTCATCTCAGAATGTGGAGCCCGTAATAATAATGGCCCCTTTCCAGTTTTAGCCTCCCGTTGAAGAGCCTCCAACAAAAGGTGCACTGGCAAAAAGCACCCGCATATTATATAAAAAATCGAAACCCGGACAGGCAAACGTCGTGAGCAAAATGGCCAGGTGATGCTTCCCTTGGATTCTTCATGAACACCTAAGGCCGTGAGAAAGGTGCCAAGCAATGGAGAAGCAAAGGCATCAAGGAACTCGAAGGCAGCTGGGTATGAACTTTAAACTGTGGGGCCGTGATTCTGTGCATGTCATTGATCTGGAATCTAGTTGTGCTTCGTCTACGTCTCGTAGTCAGATATAACAAAAAGACCCGGCCTCCAGATGGATATCTTGTTTGAGGGTACCCGTTGTTGCCTGTTTTGAAGGGAAACCAATTGGACCCCATATTTTTTGGGGTGCACCCTATTTTGACACAACCCCAAATTAATTGTGCAGTTCCAGCTTCCCGGCAGCGTGATCCTTTGGCCCCGAATTTGAGGGGTGCTGCACTTGCTTGGGGGACTCACCCAAAGGGGTCAAGAAATGAACGGTAAGCCTGCGTGATTTCCCGCTCCTGGGTGTAGTACACCAGGACATTGGTCTCCGTGGGGTTGTAAGAATTGAACCTGCGAGTGCACAGCCGGCATTAACCAGATCCCCGTTTAAACCCCTATAAGTGCAAACAACCTCCTTTGATTTCCCCTTTAAAGGGGACCCCGGGGGTCGCTTGCTTAACAAGTTTTGCCCAACCCTTGTAGTAGCTTAGGTATGCTTTGCACAGCACTCGAACCTATGAGTCAAGTCAATCAAAGGCACACTGGGGGATCCAAGAAATGGCTATTCATGGGGAACCACCTCTATGGTGGACATGAATCTGCACCGAAATCTGATGTCCACCAATGGGCACATTAAAAAATCCTGCAGAAGCCCCGACTCGAAGTGTCTCTGTTGGCACCTTCCCACGAACGTCTCCGCTGGCCACACAGACCCGCTGGCTTTATCAGTCTTGGGGTCACTGGAACTCCAGCTCAAAAGTTGATCAGTTTCTTGGTGGCCCCCTTTGAATGTGCCACTTTTGGAGATTCCAACAAGGGAAATTGAGGAAGCCCTGAGTGTTCTTCAGGGAAGCAAACTGGAAACCCCGAAAATAACCACAGTGTGTGGCTGGTTGCAATACTTATCAACCCTACTGCCCCCCGGCTCTGGCAAACGCAATCATTTGACCCCGGCAATTGTCCCGGCGGATTAGGGGAACCAGCAACATGGATAATTACCCATCCTGCCTCTTCAAGTCGACACGCGTGCGTGGTAGTGGCTCAGGAAGAAAATTTCTGCTTCGCAAATCTGACCAGAAATATATGCCGCACGTCCGGTAGTCAGATTTTCGGCTGTTTGCCGCTCCTCGCGAGATGAGTATTTGCTAATAGTGTAGTGCTATGGCCCTTGTGGCGACTCGGTGTTGCGAGGCCGCGATCCGGAACTCGAAGGCCCAGTGGGTGGATTCCGCCAAGTCTCGTCAGTGAGCTCGTAGGGGTCTTGTCCACGTGCGCAACACCCAAGTGCCTTGCCCGTCAAACCTTGTGCTGTGCACCTCAAATTGCCGCGTGACAGGGGGGTTCAAGCTGCCTGTGCCCTTTTTTTGTCACCCTGATAAAGGAGCTCGGTTTTTTAGGTTCACAATTTTAGCGAGGCCAAACCAAAAGGGATTTCGAGGGTGCCACTAAACAACTGGGGTGTAGCCTTTTCACAAACTCACGTGCCCATAGCTGTCCTTTTGGAACAATTAGATGGATTTCCCGGAAAATGGGGCATAAAAGCAATCTCAACCAGTGGAACTCATGTTTTTTGTAACTAAGCTCACCTAAAAAGGACACGTGCCTGCTCTTCAGACCTGCCGGCCGAATTTTTATCCAAGCGACAGTTCAACTGCGTGCCCGTTCATCTGCCCACCCGCATGCCCGTTCCACCGAACAGCAACTTCTCTAAGGGCTATCAAATGGTACCCTAAGCTTGGTTGCTGGCAGGACTCCTCTGCAAAAAGTCGGCAACTTGTTCTGGGCTCACTGGACAACCAACTTGATTTTTCCAAACACTTAAAGTCTAAAAATCCACCCGAATAGCGATCAAGTAAGCATCCACCGTTTTTTTGTTTTGTTTTTTGCTGCCGGGCGGGGGGGGGGGGGAATTCGACAGCCCTTGGAAGGTGCTGATGTGCACAATGATGTTGACTGCCGTGAACATGGGTGCAATAAAAGGCGCACGGCAGCTGAGGCGTCACCCACGAAAGCGACGGATTCCTACAAAAAGGGGAAACCATCGAAATCAACCAGGTGAGTTTCAGGCTATTGTCCCGGGTTGAGTTGAGAAGAGTTTTCACAAATCCGGATTGAGAACCAGAGGTTAACCAGGGGATTAGCAACCAGGGGTGAAGGAGTGAAGGATAACCAGGGCTGAACGAGAACCACTACAAGGGGAAACACACCCACATCAAATCAGCCAGGCTATGTGCCAAGGTTGAGAAGGGATTTCAACAGTGGGATTCAGAACCAGAGATTAACCAGGATTGATAAGGGGTGAAGGATCACCAGGGGTGAAGAAGAAGGACATTCAACAGTGTGAACCCGAGGTCCCGGCTGCAGGGACTTGAGACCGGAGGCCATTGCATTGGAAGCACGACGGCAGGACCTGCCACATCGGCGGAATCGGAGCGGGCTTGCCCATTTACTCACAAGGGGTTTTTGGGGGACGTGACAAAAAGAAAGGTGACGGCCCGTCTTGTTTGGAGGTGCCCCTTTTTCGGGGTTGGTGTAAAAAGGACCCTAAAATACATAAATCATTGACCTTTTGAGGCCATGACCAAAAATGGTTCACCAAAAGGTCATTTCAGGTCGATTCGCTTTGGACAACTGAGTTTATCAAAACCAAGGTCCACCTGAGTTGCGTCTGACTGGTACGGAGTGTCTGACACGTCAAGGGCGCTCCATGTTCTGCAGATTGCCCTTGGAAGAAGCCCATTTGCGGGTTTGGGGGGGGGGGAGTGGTGCTCCATTTGGCGTCCCCATAAGTAGCAAACCAAAACTGGTCGGTTGGCTTGGGAAAAGAATTCCCAGCAAACGGCCAACCTCAAAACCTTTAGAGTTCGCCCCCATTTGCTCTCATGGGTCAGTACGCTCATTTGGCGTAAAACATGAGAACATAACTCTAGTAGTGATAGATTCCGTGTTAAAACCAACAAGGGAAAGTAACACTCATGGGCTGGGGGGGAGGGAGGGGAGGGGAGGGATCTCAAATAAGCCCTAAGGCCTTGTTTATGGCTTATTTGGGCTCCCTCCCACTCCCCTCCCTCCCTCCCAGCCCCCATGAAACACATATTCTTGAGCAACTGGAAGAACATGATTCGTGGTTGGTGTCTGTACGTCCTTCGGCGTTGCTCCCTGCTCAACCAAGTTGTCATGGTCTCGCTAGGTGAGGTGCAAGACAGGAGCTCAATGGCTGCTCTCTGGGTTGTTTGGTCGGTTTTCTGCGCGCTATATCGAAAGTAAGAGGCTGAACACATCTGTTCAAGATCTTTCCCGGGGTCATGGCGTAACCTCAAGCTGCACCCCTTGTCTACAACACTTGGCATAACCTGAAGCTGCAGTTTCCTGGGTCTGATGCAAACCATGCCCACTGACCGAAAAAGGGACTTGTTCCAGGGGGTTCCTTGCCCAAACGGCAGGTTAAACACGTTCGGCTAACGCCCCAGGGCCATGACTGAAGCAAAAACCGAAAGCCCAGCATGCGCAAGGCTACAAGGTGATAGTCTTGCTGCAAGGGCCGACTTGGGGGGGGGGACTTTAGAACGAAAGATATTAAGTTGTGATCATAAGATGAGAGAATAGCCCCTTATGTTGTCTAGGCCTCAAAACCTTCATGGAAAGAACGAGGTAGAATGGAATGGCACAGGATGTATCAGTTTGGAGACAGGAACGAAAACGTAACTGTCTTTGGAATCAGGATTTGTCGATTTATCGGCCCCTGAGCTTGTGGAAACAATTCGCTTGGGTGTGTGTTTTTTAGGGTACCCTTTTTGGTTGGTGTTCAAAAGAAACCAAAAGGTTTCACCCTTGCCATTTGTGGGGTCTCCTAAAGAAAGACGAGCCACCCACTCTTGGAAGAACAGGGGAACCTGATCTACCAGGTCGGGTGTCTTTCTTTGAGTCAAACCCTTTTTTGGTGTGAATGGGAAACCAAAGATAAACTCTGAGGGTACTCTGTTTTGGTGTTAAAGTTAAATTGAAACCAAACGTAAAACCCAGCCCCTTTAAAACAAATGCGAGACACACACACACACACATTCAGCCGGGTTCTGAGCTCACCCGGCGCGCGCGGAATCAATCTATGACTCCGGGCCCCAGCTGCACGCCCTTGAGGCCCTTGTCGAAGTCCACCACCTGCACCTCTCGGTCCTGCGCACGCTCGGTGGCGAAATTTGCAAACCCCTGCTTTTTCTTCTTCTTTTTTTGTTTACCTTTTAGTGGGTTTAATACGGAAAACAATTTCATTAGTTGGCAAAAAGTCGAAAAGTCCCAATATCCAAGCAAAATGCGTCAAAGCACGGACGTCCGGATGCGCGAGAGGTCGGGTTTCCAACACCTCGGATTCTTCGTTTGACACCGTTTTTTCTCTTCTTCTTTTTTGGTTTAACCCTTCTTCAGGGTGTGTCTCAAACATGGTTGGAGCCCCAAAGCTGATCGGCTTCCTTTTGGCCTTTTGGTTTCACCATCCAAAAGGGGCTCCCCATTTTGAGACAGACCCCCACTCGCTGGCAGGGCTGAGGGCATTGTTCGCTATGATGCTGGAACGCTTTTAAAATGACGAGTTCTTCACTTAGAGATGGGTCCCTGATAGAGGAAACATCCCCATCCCCACCTTGCACTGGGAAAAGAAACTGGGGAAGAACATCCTTTGTGGAGCACACCAAAGGGTCGCAACAGGGTGGCGTGAAGTCAATGGGTCGTCGAATGTCGTTTCTCGAGTTTCTGAGAATGTGTTTACCGATGTTTACCCCCCCCCCCCCCGCATCATGTCCAGTTCACCAATCGGAGGTGCCATTCCCTTCTAGACATTCTCCCAATGGGTCAGTTTAATCTCTGGAAGCAGTATCCTTTGAATCGGAGAACTTGACCCACATCCAAAATACACAGATTTAGTCTCATATGGGCGTGTCCTTGTTCAAGCGCGACTTTCCGTGTGGTCTTTAACGGGGAAACCGACAAAATCAGGACCACCATGCTGAATACGAAAAAGAACCAACAAAAAAAAACAAAAGAACCAACAAAACCGTCAAAGACCCAGATACAAATTCATCTGCCATGATTCCCATTCCAAAACCACGGTCATATCCAAACCACTCCAATATTCAGTCCATTTATTCCCCATTGATTCAGGAGCGAGAAGGATCCCCGCTGGTGGCCCCTGATCCAGTTCCCAACGGGCTGCAAACGTTTCCAGTTGACCCCTGACTGACAACATCGCACGTTTTTTTCCGGCGGGATCCCTTAGTGAGGCTTCCAACACAGACCCCTCCTAGAAACAAGCCATGACCCGGAAAAAAGAAGAAGAGCAAAAAGCCATAACTGGCCCGAAAAAGCACGAGGCAACTCTGGCTCAAATGGCTTAAACAGCTTGTTCAAGGGTACCCTTGTGCTGATTGAAAGGGAAGTGACAGGAATGGACACTTCCGAAACCTCATCTACTAGCCGGGACCCAACAACTGCTGTTTTCCCGGGCCAAAATCACAAGTACGGAACAGAAGCCGTTGCTGGAGGGGGTGCTAGCAAGCAATGTAGATATAGAGAGAGAAAGAGAAAAAGAGAGAGGGAGAGAGAGAGAGAGGGGAGAGAGAGAGAGAGGGATGGTTGAAACGGAAACCCCTCTTTGGAAACTGAATGGAGGTTCCATGCCCGGATCCTGCACGACGTAGAGGTTGTGGCCAAAGGCATGCGCCAAGGGCCGCTCGCAGTCCAGCTTGAAGACCACCATCCTCGCAGGCAAAGCGGGTATTCCTATGTCACGCGCAAGTTGTAAGGAAATTCGAGAAAAGCCCAACCTTGGGTTACAATCACCCTGATCACCTCCCAACTGGTTGTTTCCTCATGGCCGGTGGAAACAATGACAGATCTCTACTAGGTCCTCCAGTAGAGAGGTTAGAATAAGGGTAATTACCAATTTTTCTGTAGTCTATTTTTAGTAGGGGAGCCCTCCCCCCCAAAAAGAAAATAGGGCACTACTGGAGGACCTAGTCCAAGTCACAGCCCCGTTCCAACCAAACACAGCACCACAACCGCCCGAGCCTTGAACCCCGGTAGACTTGGAACTCCTTTCGGGTCGGTTTCTTCGTCGGGAACCTCGGCGACCTGTGGAAGACAAATCCACGGGGTTCCCTGGGACATGCGGAAAATAAAAGCCATCTAACCCACTGGGCCCCATCTATTTCTAGCCAAGCCTCAAAAAGACGCCAGGTTGGGGCCCATCTATTTGCAGCCGAACCTAACAAGACAAAAAACAGAAAAGAAAAACATCTAAACCAGTGGGACCCAGCCATCTGTTTCTAGCCAAACCTAAAACACAAAAATAGTTCTTACCCCTTAAACCTCCCTGCGCCCTGGGGAAGTTAATCAATCTTTTACAGACAAAGTTGCCCATGTGACCCCAAAAAGCCGAGAAAAGTTTGGTGTTTTTTTGAGAGGTCAGAGTTGCAGATTTCTTGGGAACCCATCAAGCGAAACGAAACCTCCAGGCCGGAGGCCGCTGGAGGCCACCGAGGCCAACTACCGAGGCCCCCAGCCCGGCATCGTGGCCCACCGCGATCAGGTTGGAGCTCCTTTCGCCGCCAAGGCGCCGCTTGGGGCGACTGGACCAGGACGAGTTGGGTGGCCCAAGCAGCAGACCCCCCCACACTTCTCACTGGCTGAGATGGCCCCAAAAAAGTTCTCAAACCTTAGATTTGCCACTAAAATGGTGCAAACCCGAAAAGTTTTTAAAGTTCATGGACTCAGGAAGTGAGACATGCAACTCAACCTTAAAACCGAAAAACAAAGAACCACGCGGCCCAAACACATTTGTAGTCGGTTGCTCCTAAGCACCCCTCTAAAATAAGGTTTAAGATGGGAACCCGGCCAAACGTCGGCAAAACCACCACGCTCGCGTCTCCAGGAGTTGGACTCAAGCCCTGCAAGGAGTGCAGAAGATATATTTTTCGGGGTGGCCCGTTTTAACGGGGGCCGGGGGGAGAGGGGCCGTTTAACCGAATAACGGGCTCTAATCAAGAAGTTCCAGCCGGCACCATGTGCTGTCGAAGCCATGGTCCAGTCTTCGAGTCGCCGCTTTTGGCTGCATGTGACTCGCAGGGAGGCAGGCACTTTTCTGGCACCCTGGTCCCTTTTCTGGCGTTGTCTTTGCTCATGGGTCGATCATCCCTAAGCCCGAACCCCACGGGTGCTGTGACCATGAGACATGTCTTGGCTCACTTTTTATACACAGAAGGTCATATGTTCTGATTCTGTTCCATGTTTCGTCTATGTTCTGCCTATAAAACAAATCATATGGGCATGTGTCAAAATAACAGGCCATTTGTTGTGTTCTTTTTTCTTTGGCTTGAACCAAGCTGACAAGTTGGCATCCTCAAACCCAGATCCGGGGCGACCCTTCCATCCGACGGCTGGCTCCTGTGGGCGGTAATGATCCAAAAGCGATCGTTCTCACCTCGCGCTCTGTGGAAATTTGGCCCGGACCAGCAGACTCGTTGGTCCACAGGTCACTTTGGGCAGCACAAAATCCATCACTTTAGGCACTCAGGACCCCGGAGCGATAGGATTTGGACCACCCGGAGCGACCGCCTGACTGACTCGTTGATCTCTCGGCTTCCCGGTAAATGGCTTTGTCTCAAAATAGGGAAAGGATATGGGTTCCTATTGGTGTACTGTTTCCCTTTTCACCTCACTTGTTGTTATTTTGTTTCCTGTTGTTCTATCAACCAAAAGGGGGGCCCTCAAAAAAACACACCCAAATACCAATCCCAAAAGGGCTCCACCATTTTGAGAAACTCAAACATGGGTATGAATTTTAACAATGGACCCTTTGGTGGACATCATTTTGCTGGGAATGCATGTCCACCGATCACTTTTGAGCTGGTTAAACATAATGGCCATATTGGCCCTGAACAAACGCAATGCCCTGTCCGCGAGACAGCTGGTTCTAAAATGGCCACTAAGTTGCAGGCGCACCCCGCATTGATTCGAATGGCTGCTTTCGTTGTTATTTCCCTGTTAGACCAAGCTGAAAAGGGTACCCTCAAAAACAAACAAACGCACACACGCACACACACACACACAGACACACACAGACACACACACACACACACACACACACACACACACACACACACACACACACACACACACACACACACACACACACACACACACACACACACACGCACGCACGCACGCACGCACGCACGCACGCACGCACGCACGCACGCACGCACGCACGCACGCACGCACGCACGCACGCACGCACGCACGCACGCACGCACGCACGCACGCACGCACGCACGCACGCACGCACGCACGCACACGCACGCACGCACGCACGCACGCACGCACGCACGCACGCACGCACGCACGCACGCACGCACGCACGCACGCACGCACGCACGCACGCACGCACGCACGCACGCACGCACGCACGCACGCACGCACGCACGCACGCACGCACGCACGCACGCACGCACGCACGCACGCACGCACGCACGCACCACGCACGCACGCACGCACGCACGCAACGCACGCACGCACGCACGCACGCACGCACGCACGCACGCACGCACGCACGCACGCACGCACGCACGCACGCACCACGCACGCACGCACGCACGCACGCACGCACGCACGCACGCACGCACGCACGCACGCACGCACGCACGCACGCACGCACGCACGCACGCACGCACGCACGCACGCACGCACGCACACGCACGCACGCACACGCACGCACACGCGCACAGACACAGACACAGACACAGACACAGACACAGACACAGACACAGACACAGACACAGACACAGACACAGACACAGACACAGACACAGACACAGACACAGACACAGACACAGACACAGACACAGACACAGACACAGACAGACGCAGACAGACGCAGACGCAGACACAGACAGACAGACAGACAGACAGACACAGACACAGACACAGACACAGACACAGACACAGACACAGACACAGACACAGACACAGACACAGACACAGACACAGACGCAGACGCAGACGCAGACGCGCACACACACACACACACCACACACACACACACACACAGAGCGCTCGCGCAAATGACACAAATGGCACAGCTGAGAGCCTTTTTGCGGCAATTCGCTGGAAAAAACACGCTTTCCGCTTGTCCTACGCTCGAATGTGTGTAGGGTGGTCCTTTTGCCGCGCTTTGCAAACCAATTTGGCATACTTCCAAGCTACATCTCGGTGCGTGTTTTAGAGAGCCCAACAAATGGCTTCGGTTTTCCGCTTCAGGAAAAACAATCAGCCCAAAAAGGGTACCCACCCCCAAAAAAAGAAGGACAGACCCATCTGCATGTTTAGTCTGCCTTTGAGGTCTTTTGGGACCACTCCCTTGAGGTGTCAAGTTGAGTGGACACCGCTTCAACTTCTAAACCAGGCCCTTTGGACGGAAGTTTGTGCCACAAGTAGCATTTGGGTGCATCTATTTTTAGGGTTTACACCAAAATAGTGGTTTCCTTTTGGCAAGGGGTACCAACACTCCCTCAGACTAACATGGAAGCTCCCAGGAGGCCTCTGTAAATGGAACTAAGTCTTCCAAAGGGGTCCTGGGAGCTTCCATGTCAGTCTCGGGGAGGGACCTCCAAAAAACAATCAGACACGCCCAAGTTGCATTTCTTGGTTGCTGTTGACCCCTTCGCAAAAAGTTTAACTTTTTGGGAGTTTTGTAGAAAACACCCTTATTTCAACCAAAAAGTTAAAGTCTAAAGATCCAACCCAATAGGAGTCAAGATTTGGCCTGTGACTCGCCGTTGTCTTGGGCGTCGGGCGTCGGAAGGTGTGGATGCCTGTGCGCTTCGTGACGTCCCAGACCCGGATCGTGCGATCCTCGCGAGCGTTTGATTATTACTATTATTATTATAATTATTATTATTATTATTATTACTATTATTATTATTACTATATGTTTTAATTATCATGTTATTATTATTAGTTTTATGCTTATCATTATTATTATTATTATTATTATTACTATCATTATTCTTATTATTATCATTATCATTATTATTATTATTATTAGTATTATTATTATTATTATCATTATCATTATTATTAGTATTATTAATATCATTACTATTATTATTCTTATTATTATTATTACTATCATTATTATCATTACTATTGATATTATTATTATTACTATTATCATTACAATTTATATGTTTACTACTATTATTATTTATTAGTATTTTATTATTGTTAATATTATTATTACTATTATTAGTAGTAGTAGTAGTAGTAGTAGTAGTAGTATTAGCATTATTTACTATGGCACAAATGGCCATGGGTCAAAATCCAAATCGTACCCCCCAGTGAACATCTCAATCCCCACTACTAGACTAAAATGAGAGGGGGTCGTAACCACGACAAAAACGCGATTTTGTTACCATGACAAGGTGCAATGTTACCACGGCAGAAAAAAAGCGTTACAGCGACATGTTTCTTGCGGGCTTATCCCGACAAGCAGGGAAATAGAAAGGAATAAGAAGGCATGAGAAGGGAAATAAGAAGAGAAGGAATAAGAAGGCATGAGAAGGTCAATAAGAAGGAATAAGAAGGAATAAGAAGGTCAATAGAAAGGAATAAGAAGGAATAAGAATGTGAATAGAAAGGAATAAGAAGGAATAAGAAGGTGAATAGAAAGGAATAAGAAGGAATAAGAAGGTCAATAGAACTAAGAAGGAATAAGAAGGTCAATAGAAAGGAATAAGAAGGAATAAGAAGGTCAATAGAAAGGAATAAGAAGGTCATAGAAAGGAATAAGAAGGAATAAGAAGGTGAATAGAAAGGAATAAGAAGGAATAAGAAGGTCAATAGAAAGGAATAAGAAGGAATAAGAATGTCAATAGAAATGAATAAGAATGTGAATAAGAAGGAATAAGAAGGTCAATAAGAAGGAATAAGAAGGAATAAGAAGGTCAATAGAAAGGAATAAGAAGGAATAAGAAGGTCAATAGAAAGGAATAAGAAGGAATAAGAACGTCAATAGAAAGGAATAAGAAGGAATAAGAAGGTCAATAGAACGGAATAAGAAGGAATAAGAAGGTCAATAGAAAGGAATAAGAAGGAATAAGAATGTCAATAGAAAGGAATAAGAAGGTCAGTAGAAAGGAATAAGAAGGAATAAGAAGGTCAATAAAAAGGAATAAGAAGGAATAAGAAGGTCAATAGAAAGGAATAAGAAGGAATAAGAAGGTCAATAGAAAGGAATAAGAAGGAATAAGAAGGTCAATAAAAGGAATAAGAAGGAATAAGAAGGTCAATAGCAAGGAATAGAAAGGAATAAGAAGGAATAAGAATGTGAATAGAAAGGAATAAGAAGGAATAAGAAGGTCAATAGAAAGGAATAAGAAGGAATAAGAAGGTCAATGGAAAGGAATAAGAAGGAATAAGAAGGTCAATAGAAAGGAATAAGAAGGAATAAGAAGATGATTAGAAAGGAATAAGAAGGAATAAGAAGGTCAATAGAAAGGAATAAGAAGGTCAATAGAAATGGATAAGAATGTGAATAGAAAAGAATAAGAAGGAATAAGAAGGTCAATAAGAAGGAATAATAGTAATAGTACTAATACTAGTAGTAGTAGTAGTAGTAATAGTAGTAATAGTAGTAGTAGTAGTAATAGTAGTAATAGTAGTAGTAGTAGTAGTAGTAATAGTAGTAGTAGTTATAGTAGTAATAGTAGTAGTAGTAATAGTAGTAATAATAGTCCTAGTAATAATAGTCCTAGTAATAGTAGTAATAGTAGTAGTAGTAGTAATAGCAGTAGTAGTAGTAATAGCAGTAATAGTAGTAGTAGTAGTAATAGCAGTAATAGTAGTAGTAATAGTAGTAATAGCAGTAATAGTAGTAGTAGTAATAGTAGTAATAGTAGTAGTAGTAATAGTAGTAGTAGTAATAGTAGTAATAGTAGTAATAGTGATAGTAGTAATAGTAGTCCTAGTAATAATAGTCCTAGTAATAGTAGTAATAGTAGTAGTAGTAGTAATAGCAGTAATAGTAGTAGTAGTAGTAGTAATAGCAGTAATAGTAGTAGTAGTGGTAGTAATAGCAGTAATAGTAGTAGTAGTAGTAATAGTAGTAATAGTAGTAGTAGTAGTAATAATAGTAATAGTAGTAGTAGTAATCATAGTAATAGTAGTAGTAGTAGTAGTAATAGCAGTAATAGTAGTAGTAGTAGTAGTAATTAGTAGTAGTAATAATAGTAATAGTAGTAGTAGTAGTAATAATAGTAATAGTAGTAGTAGTAGTAGTAGTAGTAGTAGTAGTAGTAGTAGAAGCCTTGTCGGGATAGTCTTCACTGAAACTTGTCGGTGTAACAAGATTCTTTGTCGTTGTAACAATGACCTTTGTCGTTGTAACAGGTTCTTTGTCGTGGTTACGACCCTCTCTAGACTAAAATGGGTGGTACACCTACCCAAAATGGCACCATTGGTTACCAGCCCCCCCCTGCCATGGACACCTAGAGTCAATGATGCAGCCAAGAACCCAACAAAAACCAAAAGCCTAAATGAAGGAGGTTGCAAAATAGACCCTACGTGTCCATCATACCCACCCCCCCCACCCCAAGCCCCCGTAGCACCTGTCAAATACATGTTTGTTCGCAAGCAAACAAAAGTAGGGGAGTCTGGCTGATAGCCGATGACAGGATGTGGTTGGTGGGTTCGAGACCGGGGCTTTAAGCTGGATGTTGTCAAAACTTGGTTGCTGTTCTTCCCTCTGCACATAGGTCTAACCTTTTTAAAGTAGTGCAGGATTTCGTCCATCATGTCCATCCATTGCCGCGGATGTCCTCCTTGGCAACCTGCTCTTTTGGGAAGAATGGCACTGAGGAATGATCAGAACCAAACTGGGACTCGTGCTATGCGCTTTCTAAGTCACCGGAAGACACCTATGATTTGTATGGCACAATGGGGAGGAGAAGGGCCGGTCACCTGCTACCCTTCCTGCCACAAACAGAAGGCACCTGTGGGAGGGAACCTGGAAGATCAGATTCCTCTTGAAGGGACCCCCGTGAAGTGCGATAGTAGCGAGCGGAAGGGCAATTGCAACTCCAAACAAGAGAACCTCACGCGTTCTCTGAGAACAAAAATCCACCGGGCAACACCTCTCTTTTCGTTTGCAGGCCACCAAATGTTCTGGATGCATTTGAAATCCTCAGATGCCCGGTGGATTTCCATGAGAAAAAAGGGTTGACACCCTTTTTTGGTTGGTTGAGCTTAAAGGAATCGGAGCCCTTCCCAAAAATAAGCCGAAAAAAGGGGGCGGAATCCACTAGTTTAAAGGGAACCCTTCCCCCCAAAAAAAAAAAGAAGAAGAAGAAGGAAAACGCTTCTGTCCGTTCTTCCTTGCCGCCCGCTTCAAAATCCTCCAAACAAGGACACGTCTGCCAAAAGACTAGTGAGTCTTCCGATTCCGACCGGAGTCATTTGGATGTGTTCATTTCTCGGAGGAAATTCCCCGCTTCTTGTCCGGTTTCCAAGGAAAAGCCAAACCCCCAGTAGCCCAAGACCCCAAATATGAGGGCCTTCGACCCCCAAAGACCTTAAGTCATGAGGTCTTGGGTCAATAGTTAACACAAAGGGACGCCCTTGCCGTTTTGCGCGTCCCCCGGAATTTTCAGCCGCCCCACACTTTTAGATCAACACCCCCCTTTCGCCTGGTGTTCAAGGCAAACCAAGAGGAAACCAAAGGCCACGTGGGCTCCCCAAGGATGCCACACCCCCTTTGTACTAGGCTGTCCGTTTTCGGCTCCCCCGCTAAAAGAGACTCACTGTTAGTGGGCCAAATACGGAAAACCAACCACTAAACACTAAAAAGCTAAACAATTGGGGATGGCTGGGAGCCAGCGAGTTTAGTCAACCAAAACCTCCCCGTGGATTTTTCTGTCCTCGGAGTTCGAAAGGATCAGCTCCTTCTTGGGATGGAACCTCAGGCCATCGGATGCTTCGAGGGGTCTGGAGCAAAAAAAAAACATTGGGCAGTGGGAACAAGCACCACACTGTATCGTGGTTGTATATCCGCCCCACACCTCAGGCGGTAGTTGGGGGTAGCGGAAACCATCTTAGAGTGGCACAACCATCTTAGAGTGGCACTCTTAGAGTGGATTTCCCACTAAACCACAATAAGCAAAAAATGCTGTGGATGGACAAAATCCGATCCGAACCACCTTGAAACCATGGGAAACCAGGTGCTGGTTGGTATTTGCAAAGGAGTCATCATTCCGGGGATCCTTAGGTGGTGCAGGTCTTTGTCCATCCACAGTGTCCTTTCGGATAGAAAAAATACATGTGTTTTTGCTGGACATGGGCAGATGAGCCGCAAAGGAAACCAAACAACAAAGGCGTGGTTTAGGCCATGCGTGTCGGGCAAATGACAGATGGCCCCCCCCAAGGAGCATCGCGTATCCCTTTGAAGAAAGAACATGACTTTTTCTTGGGAAATGGATGGCTGATCAAACTCCTCGATCAAAAGGACACCTATGCAGAGAAAAGACCTCAAGGGGTGAGCCGAAAAACAAAGAATTGGCTAGCCTTCCCAGGCCCTGATTTGTCCTGGGAAGATGACAGTTGCTGAACCTTTCGGCTTCTGGTCCTTCTCCCGAGGGAAAATCAAAAGTTGACAAAATCCTGTGGTTTCAATTTATCTAGGCTGTCCTCAGATCCCCCGCAAAAAGTTTAAGTTTTAGCGGGCTAAATGGAAAACCCCACTAAACACTAAAAAGCTAAAAAGCTAAGGAAAAAGCAAAGGGGATAGCTGGGAGCCACCAAGTTATGGTTCGTAGGGGTGGTTTATTCGTTCATTCACCAGCCCACTCTTCCTCCTGCCAAAGCACGGCTGTCCTCAGATCTCTTGCTAAAGTTTAACTTTGAGTGGGCTAAATGGCAACCTCGAGTAAACCCTAAACAGCTCAAAAGCTACCGAGATGGCTGGAGCCACCAAGAAAGTGGTTGATTCCCAGGACCACTTTGCCAATGGGATCTGGGTACCATCGGCCAAATTTTCTCTACCTTCAGCCCGCGGAAAACTACTGGATGTGGGTGGCTCGTTTTTTTCTGTAGGAATCGGACCCGCCAGGAGAGTGGCTTTTTTGAGGCTACCCGTTTTTTGGGGCGGTTTTGAATGGAGACATGAGGAAAACCAACCATTCTGGGAGTCCACTAATAGAAGACACCCTTATCAGGTCGCAATTAGATGTAAGCCACGGCGAACTTTCGACTCAAGTCAGGAATGACCGGTGGCAAACTTCGCGTCCGCGTCATTGAGGAGCGCGTCCTCTTGCCCGTGCTGGTTACGTCTTGGTGGCATTTCGTCGCTTCTGGTGGTCTGACGCACAAAGTCGTTGGCGCCTGTACAAATCGACTCTTCCTCTCGTGATAGGGCGGCCAGACTTCCGGCAGAGCCATTTCCGGGGTCACTGGATTTTTCCCCTTCAAAAGTTGTAATTGACTGGTGGTGTTCCTCCTGTAGGTTCCATCAAGGGAAATGGTGAAAACCCAGTCGCGTACTTACCTGATTTCTACCTCACTGCCTTGCTGCCTTGCCTCGTTGCCAAGTCAAACCCAGCCTGTTTATCACGGCCGTTTTCACGGATGTCTTCCCGACGCATCAACACGTGGCCCCGGCGGGAAAAAACGAACAAAAAACTGTGCAGCACTTTTGAGGCCTCCTTCGCCCGGTTTTTTCGCGTTGCGAGATGCGCCAGCTGTGGCCTTCACTTCCTTGGTCCCTTGCGAAGCTCGGGCCAAAATTCAGGCCTTTCCGTAGAGGGTCCCTTGGGACCTCAGGATGGCGTTTCGGGGGGTTTTCAAAAGGGTCGTTGGCATAGGTGTCCTTTTGATCGGTTTGTTTGGGTAGAAATAGAGCAGAAATGGGTTTTACTGGTTTAGATAGGACACCTATGATCGTTCAGTACCTCCTTAATTTGTACCAAAAAAAACCTCTGTTTGGCTGGTTACCGTGGTGGATTTCTCAGAATCCTGTGAATCTCACTTCCGAGTGGATTGGCCAAAAAAACGTCCAGGAACCGTTTTCATTTGCTTAAAATTGTCCAAGCCCAAGAAGTGCTTCATGTCCGAGTCCCGGATCTCAGGGAGCGGGTGACGAGGTGACGAGGCCGGTCTCTTTTCTCTGGCTCTCAGGGCGACACATGACGCAGGAGACATTGTTGAAGTGTCCCCGCAGCGTGTCCACCTGCAAAGGAGAACTCAGCGAGGAAGCTGGCCACGGGTGAACACCGCGCGATGCCCTTTCAGCATGCCCAATTCTTGGGGTTCCTGGACCTTAATTCGTTACATAAATTTGAGCCCCTTGGGTGTTGCGTAGCATAAATTTGCTAGTCGGGCGTTTTTCGGGGGAACGGGCACAAATTTGGATTCGAGCATTTTTGGCTATTGCGGCGGCTTCTCTCTTCTCATGTAGTCTGTTGCGTGGACACATGTGGAAACATACCCGCAAAACGGGCGCAAATACCCGCAAACCGAGCGCAAATACCCGCAAAACGAGCGCAAATCCAAAATATGTAACAATTAGTATTTTGGAAGAAACCCGTGTTCATGAAACGAGTGCTTTTTTGGGGAACGAGCACTTTTTGGATCATTGGGCAAAAATAGTTGCCCCGAGCATCTTTCTTTCGTGACACAAATTTATGTAACAATGGAAGGTCCAGGGTTGGTTTCAAGTTGATGACCGAAGGAACACCAAAGGGAAACCACCCCTTTTGGATGGAAAACTGAGAAACTCGAACCTGTTTGATCCCTCTGAGAGCTAGTCGAAGCAGGATACCAAGCCTTTCTCTGCGAGAATTATCACAGGGATTGATCATGCCTATGACTTCTGAATGGTCCCGTTTTGTCCAAGACCCTCGGGATTCTCACCCTTCAGTGCCTCTGGCACGTGGGTTCCACTCGGAAAAACAAAACATGGTGGTGTACACGATACTTGGGGCAAACGACCCCCAAAAGCCGTGCCGCCCATATCTTTATGCGGGATACCCAACATAAATCAGATCGTGCCGGTGCTTAGGTCAGGTGACCCATCTACCCGCTAGAAGTTCAACTCTGTTCTTCCCCCTGTTGGTCCTTTTTTAGTACTCTTTTAGTACTCTTTTAACCTTCTGCAGGGGTGGAACCACAACAACCACATCCAAACCGTTTTCTAGAGTAGAACAGGAAGGAAGGCAGAAGATTCCTCTTGAGCCACGACTTCAGCTCCTCTATCTGACGGGCTTGGTAGAGGAAGGAACCATGTGCAACGGGGGCTCAAGTACTTCCACTCGAGGGAATTGGAGCTTAGAAATGCCTCTTGCCAACGTTTCACAAACTTGGGGCTGGTCGACCGAAGATCTACGACAAAACTCCAGCCAAAAAAGCAGCCCGGAAGATCTGAACACACTGGGATGATCTCAGACCCTGCAAAAATATAACTTGTTAGCCAGTCATTAAAAGGTCTTTTCGCTCCAGTCAAAAACATGTTTTGCAGATTCTGCTTCCTGCTTCTGCTTCATATCCTAAGATATGGAATAACTTGGTGCTCAGCAGGGAATGAGACATAGAATGAGCCCTATAAACCATCCCTTGTGGTTTCCTTTAAGGAGATCCCCAGGTTCATTCTCACATTTCCCCACCTATCGCAGCGGAAAGATCATCCTGGAGACCCCAAAAACGGCGCTTCGAGCACGCCAAAAGCAGCAGGATCGATCCGCCTCCCAGGCTTTGGTGTCGTTCATCCTCGCGAAACGGACCACGGACGCCATCCTTACCCCTTAAAACTCCAAGCCCTGGGGAAGTTAATCTTTTACAGACATATAGCCCATGTTACCCAAAAAGTTGAAAAGTTGTGTTTTTAAGAGGTAAGCATGAGAAAGTTCCAGCCAAAACGACCGAAATCTGCCGCGCGAATCTCTCGCATCCCCTTCGAAGCAGCTCTTGACTCTTGGTGGTTTTTACTGGAAACTACCTCTGAACCCTAAAAAACCCCAAGGGGATAGCTGGGGTTCCCACCCAAGTCTCAAGAATTTCGTCGATGTGCCAAGGGAACCCACCCAGCTGGAGAAGATCATCTTAGGTGTCATCTGCCAAGCTCGAATCTAAAAACCTCAATGCGTGGCTGGTTTCGAACCGAAAACCCACTCTCGGCGGTAAATCAAATAACGAAACCTTCACCATGAAGCCATACCAACGGAGCTTTACCCTGAAAAGAGGGTGAATGTCCCTCTTGACACAGGTTGTCATCAGAAGAAGCTCCCTCTTTCAAACCATCAAGCCAAATGATAGTGAGCCTTGATCGGTGATAGAAAAAAACGGATTTGGCTGCAATCCCGTGCTCCGCAGAGACTCGGAATTGGCAGGAACTTTGATCGCGCGCCGTACACAACCGCCTGGAAAACTGGCCCCCATAATTTACGAACCATCAAAGTCATCCCCTAACTCTTAGCAGTATAGTATAGCATAGTATAGTATAGTTGTGTATAGTATGAACGTGCCATGGTCAAACCTCCTTGTCTGTCAGGCTCATGGTTATCTTGCTGTAACAGGAATCCTCACAATCTCTCAACTTCCGATACGGTCCATGCTATCCCTATATCACCCCGAGTCTTTTCACCGTGCCCATGCCACATTCGCATGCCAGTTTCCGGATTCCCGAATGCAGCCAAATCGCCTTGGGATTGTGTACGTCCCTGTGTGAAGTGAACTCCTGTGTATTGTACTCTGGCTCATGGGAAGTCAACCCAAAACTCCCCTGACTCACCGGCGGCCCGGGGTCAATTCAAACATCACCGTGTGGACTTATCAAATGTGACTTGCCTTTTCGTGGTGTTTAACAAGGAAGAATCGTCGCTTAAGAGGCCGAAATATATGTTGTTTGGCATCCCTCGTTTCTTTCCCTCACAGTCACGATTAGCTCGCGGTAGTGAACAGAAGCAAAGAAGCAAATGACCTTGGCGACAAAAGAACCGAAGGACCAGAGCAGGACCTTCACAACCAAAAAAAAGTAACAACGAACAACCATGTTGATAACCGTGTACCTAGACCCTCAAATACCCTTGAACATGGCTTATTGCCCTACCTTCCAAGAAGACATTTGCTTTGCATGTCCTGCCTTCTCTGGGGCTTATATGGGTTCTATTTTGGATAGCTAGTGCCAAAAGTGTGGGGTGAATCCCATTTTATGGGTAGGTTTGAGGGTCCCGATAGTTGCGTCGCCGGACACTGCCCCACGTGAAAGATTCTTCGCACCTCCACAGCTTGATCAGCCGATCGTCTGCACCGGATACAATCAGCGGCAGCCTGCAGAAGGGACGGGGCAAAGAGTCGGAAAAAAGTGGAGGCCTGGAGTTCCAAGCTGGGCATGGGTCACAAAATCAAACCACCAGGGGACCGCAGGCATAGGTGTTCTGTTGGGAAAATGGATGGGCTTTCCTGGTAAATGGGGCATAAAACCCACGCAAACCAGTGCCTTCCATGTTTTTACCACACTGACCTAAAAAGGACACAAGGGGACCGCAGGTCAAACCACAAGGGTCAAACGTCTACCCCGTTTCTCGATCGCTTTTGAAGGGGTGTACTTGCTGGTTGATATGGGTACGGGTCAACAAAATCAACCCAGGATATGGACAGGTTGAATGGTCCAATTGTTTCCATTGCAGGGCAACCCATTTTGGGGTTGCCCCATCTTCAACCCACACCCAACTGACTGTCCACAGTCTCGATTGGGAAGCCGCCAAAAAAAAAACATCGTAACCATATTTCCCTTCAAGAAGGTCCCAGCCAGGACGCGCACAAGAAACAGGGCTAGTCCGTTTGACAGCCCTGTTTGCAGTGGGTTTTTTCCGGGTACCCAAAGCGCAACGGGTTGCGCAAAACTATTTCCAAACAAACCCAGGTGGGAAATTGGTCGAACATGCCGAATCCGCATGAGATGGGATGGCTGAAACCCCATGAATGGTGGGATTGGTCACCCACCAGCTGGTGATTTGTCCCAAGGGCCTGTCCGGCCCAATGGCCCCTTGGGACGTGTAATTAGGTGATATGGTGCGGATGGGTGGTGCCTGGCAACTTTCGAGGACCAACAATACGAACCACTCCTTGTAGCTTTTACTCTTTATTGACGCCTTACCTTACCTTTTCATCCGCAGCTTGGGTATCTTTGCGGACCCCGCCGAAAGAATGGCCCGGAAACCAGACTTCAACCTCTCGCACTGATATGTGGTAGCTTTACTCAGTGGTTGGCTCCAGCCGAAATACTTGGAGTTGAGTTGGAAGAGTCAAGTAAATGGGTGCATCAAAATAGGGGAGATCCCCAAAATGGTGGGAAAGGGTACCCTCAAAAACCACGACAGGCGGTTTCTCCTCTGGTTTTCCCACAAACAATTGGCCAAACAGGGTACCATCTCTAAAATCGACGCACCCAAACGAGCGATCAAAATGACTTGTTTCTCCCAAAAGCACATGATAATATTGTGGCTCGTCGTCGTTTTTGGGGGGGAGCCCCAAAATGGATGGGTGTTCCTTCTGTTTTCCTCGCAACGACCTACCAAAACGGGGCTTTCCCCAAAAGAACGACAGACCCATTTCGGGGTTCGGAGAATGTTGAGCACCCCTTCGCTTCGTTGGGGTGCCAGGCGTAGGGTGGAAAGAGGCCCAGTTCACGCCCCGGTCGTGGCCCTCCAAGACCTGGCGAAAAGGGGAAGGACTTTGACTCCCCAACCCCCCAACCCCACAAACTCCCAACCTCCCCCTCCCAACCCAAGCAGCCAGTTCTTGGCTTTCTGGAAAGGACTCGATCCCAACCCACTCCAACCCCCCCCCCAGGCAAAAGACCTGGAAGTAAACGGTGAATGGGACCGTTCGAGTGAGCAATAGAGGGGGTGGTCCTTTTCAAACAAGGATTGTTGACTTTTTTGGCTGGTTCTCAGCAGGGAATGCGAAGTGACCCCGAAAAAACCATCCCCCATCGTTTCCTTTGAAGGATTCCCAAAGCAATTCATTCCCAACAACCGGAGCGGTCATTGCGTTCACTGGTTGGAAGCCTTCTGTTAGGGGGGAAACTAACACAGGTTACTGAACTCACCAAGTCCCCAGCCAGAAATCAAAGGCAATCACCAGGGGCCACTACAAACGGGAGAAAAAAAAGGGGTCAAAAGATCGATTCGATTGAGACAAACAAACAGGAGCTTCTGAAAGCTAGCCTCAAACAAACAGGAAGCCATCCTGTGCCCAAAACATCCCCCTAGTGATGGTTAATCTCTTTCTCCTGGTCTCTCCCTCCGTGCCTACGTGAAATCCCAGATACAGAGATGAAGCCGTCCAGTCCTCACTTCCTTCGTCCAAACGGTTAATTCCCTGAGAGACGAGTGTAAGCGAGAGAAGAGACAGGGCCTTTCCGGACGGGCAAAAAACGTGCTTTTCAGTTTTCGACATCCTTGGGGTGTTTGGATTGGCTGGGAACACACATGTTCGAGGTGAGCAACCTACTTGCCCGCTAGCCTTAATCCTCTTAGTGGCTTGTAACTGACTTGGCACGTCCAAGCAACTGGGCCTTCCAATCCCACTGCAAAAACATACCAGCAAAAAAGGCAACGAACCCCAAGAATGCTTGGCGTTCCTTTGACTTCTTTGGTTTCCTTGTCTTGCCATCCACATGGGGGGTCACAGGGTCCAAATGCAGCGAACGCGTGCCAAAGCCAATGTCCAAGGGCGTGTCCTGTCTGAACTCCGTGGTAAACCCCCCCCACCGCACCGCACCCCCGTAGCCACGATAACTTGAGTTACCTGTCCGAGGACGGCTGGATCGCACTCTGTCCCCCAAAATACACCACCAAAAAAAGACATCCAGCGTGAGCAAAAACAAGACGAGCACGGTGCAAAGTTATTTCGCGAGGTCGCGCGGTTTTTGTGCCACAACGGTGACCCCAATGAGTACGAAACCCCACGGCTTGTTGCGGATTGCACAAACAGGCGTGCCTCAAAGGGAGCCCCTTTTTGAATGTGGCCATGGGTCAAAATCCTGTACCCCCAGTGAACATCCCAATCCCCACTAAAATAGGAAACCTAAAATGGGTGGTGAATTCACCTACCAACCAAAATGGTACATCCCAAAACGGTTTTGACCACCACGGCCCATGTGTTTTAAAGGGAAACCAAAAGGGAAAGCTACCTGGATTGGGTCCCCTGATTTTGAGAGAGAGACACCCAAGCAGTGACTTCAATCCGCGAGTTTTCAAGTTGAGTTCTGTCTGCCCCTCAGCTAAAACATCAAAAAAGCCCGGGGCCGTAGCTAGACCATACAATCCAGCACATGATCTTATACCCCAAACGGTACGTGCACCGACATACTTGTTGCCTCTGGTTGTCTTGCCTGAAATTGAGTGGGAAGTCAACTCCCAATAGGTCGGGATGTTCGAACTGGGCTGGGGCCACTCCATCTGGGTGTCTGCGTGCTATTTTGAGGGACACTTCATTTCTATCCCCCGCTAGAAGTGACTAACTTTTAGTGGGCTAAATACGGAAAACCCCCACTAAACACTAAAACGCAAAAAGGCTAAGGGGATGGCTGGGAGCCACCTGGGACCTGGATTTGGGGCGGCCAAGGCAAACCAAAGGGAAAGTCACCGCCCATGTTGGTTTTCTTGCTGGTGCGACAGGCAGGGAATATCCCCGAGATGGTTTCCTTGAAGGGAATCCCCAAAACCCTGGGCCATTCCCCTACCCATCTCACCAGCAAGTTTTGTTTGGCAACTCTCTGCTTCTTCTTCCCGCTGAAACGGCCGCCCTTCCCCTCCTTGAGCGCGCCAATTCATTGGCACAGGTCTTCTAAAGGGGTCATCCCAAAACGATGCAAAGGATCAAGAAACCTTCATGTCCGCACCTATTGGCTGCGACTGTCCACCTTCTTCAACTGCTACTTTCAGGGAACTCTTCAACATTGGGCTACTTGAAACATATCAACCTCAACATGGGGCTACTCATATCAAGCTCATGGAAGAATTTTGTGTACTCACTCACTTCTTCAGCTCCTTGTCTTCCCGGTTTCGGTTTCGGTCAGTCAACATCTGCCCAGCGCACGTACTTCACCACCGCGTCAGAGGTGCCGAAGACGTCGTTGGCTCCTGCGAGGCACGTCGTTGGATCCCCAGAGACCCCCGTTCCCTTCGACAGGGATCCGGATGCATGAAAAATGGGCTGTCCGTTTTCAGATCCCCCGCTAAAACCCTGGGGTTCTAAAAAGCTAAGGGTTATGGCTGGGATCCTTACATTATACACCTGAACATTGCAACTTGTAACTTGTGGGTTCTACCTTTATTTTGGTATTGAAAAAGCAACGTTTCAAATGGTTGCAAAATGTATCTTTTAAGGAGCCCTGTTCGAGCAACAACGCAAAGCGCACCCAAGTGAGCGTGAGCTTCCAAAACCCGTCGACTTCCGGTTCTGCATAGTCAAAATAATAAAGGACTTTCTAAACACAATGTATGTATCGGCCGAACCCAAAAAAAGAAAAGTGCCACCACGCGGTGGAACCAATGTCCTACCAAAATATATACGAAACATGGCCAAGAACGGAGGCATCCGCGGCTCATGGGCACCAGTTTCGGCCGGGAAACCCAAACTCAGCTGTCCGTTTTCGGATCGCCCGCTAAACTTGACTAACTTTTAGTGGGCGAAATACGGAAAACCCCACGAAACACTAAAAAGCCAAAAAGGTAAGGGAGCGGATGGCTGGGAGCCACCAAGAAAAGGGTTGGACATGGATCATAATGTTGACCCCAGATTAACTTGTTTGTTAATTTTGGGGGTGGTTGCCCCTGGTTTTAGTGGGCATTCAGACCACTTTTGGAGGGGAACACCTCCATATTGATAAATGGGCTTTCTTCATCTGGGGTCAACATTAGTGCATGGGCACTTCCTTCTGTTCTTTTTTGTATTTTGTGTTTTTTTTTTTTTTTAAACGAACGTGACCATTCGCACATTGGCCATAATATAGCTGAAAATGGATGTGGCAACAGTACGCAAGGCTCCACCCTGGGATGGGATGTCCGTTGTCTGATCCCCTGCTAAAAGTGAATAGCTTCTGGGTTAAATGGACCAAACCAAGAACCCTAAACCCACTAAACCAATAAACCAAAACCACTAAACCCCAAAAGCCCTAAACCCACTAAACCAATAAACCAAAACCACTAAACCCCAAAAACCCTAAACTCACTAAACCGATAAACCAAAACCACTAAACCCCAAAAGCCCTAAACCCACTAAACCAATAAACCAAAACCACTAAACCCCAAAATCCCTAAACCCACTAAACCAATAAACCAAAACCACTAAACCCCAAAAACCCTAAACCCACTAAACCAAGAAACCAAAACCACTAAACCCCAAAAGCCCCAAACCCACTAAACCGATAAACCAAATCCACTAAACCCCAAAAAGCCCTAAACCCACTAAACCAATAAACCAAATCCACTAAACCCCAAAATCCCTAAACCCACTAAACCAATAAACCAAAACCACTAAACCCCAAAAGCCCTAAACCCACTAAACCAATAAACCAAAACCACTAAACCCCAAAATCCCTAAACCCACTAAACCGATAAACCAAAACCACTAAACCCCAGAAGCCCTAAACCCACTAAACCGATAAACCAAAACCACTAAACCCCACAAGCCCTAACTAAACCCACTAAACCAATAAACCAAAACCACTAAACCCCAAAAGCCCTAAACCCACTAAACCGATAAACCAAAACCACTAAACCCCAAAAGCCCTAAACCCACTAAACCGATAAACCACATCCACTAAACCCCAAAAGCCCTTAACCCGATAAACCAAAACCACTAAACCCCAAAAGCCCTAAACCCACTAAACCGATAAACCAAAACCACTAAACCCCAAAAGCCCTAAACCCACTAAACCGATAAACCAAAACCACTAAACCCCAAAAGCCCTAAACCCACTAAACCGATAAACCAAATCCACTAAACCCCAAAATCCCTAAACCCACTAAACCGATAAACCAAAACCACTAAACCCCAAAAGCCCCAAACCCACTAAACCGATAAACCAAATCCACTAAACCCCAAAAACCCTAAACCCACTAAACCGATAAACCAAATCCACTAAACCCCAAAAGCCCTAAACCCACTAAACCGATAAACCAAATCCACTAAACCCCAAAATCCCTAAACCCACTAAACCGATAAACCAACTCCACTAAACCCCAAAAGCCCTAAACCCACTAAACCGATAAACCAAAACCACTAAACCCCAAAAGCCCTAAACCCACTAAACCGCCCTAAACCCACTAAACCCCAAAAGCCCTAAACCCACTAAACCAAAAGCCCTAAACCCATAAACCAAAACCACTAAACCCCACCCAAACCGCCCTAAACCCACTAAACCGATACACCAAAACCACTAAACCCCAAAAGCCCTAAACCCACTAAACCGATAAACCACATAAACCCCAAAATCCCTAAACCCACTAAACCGATAAACCCCAAAATCCCTAAACCCACTAAACCGATAAACCAAATCCACTAAACCCCAAAAGCCCTAAACCCACTAAACCGATAAACCAAATCCACTAAACCCCAAAAGCCCTAAACCCACTAAACCGATAAACCAAATCCACTAAACCCCAAAATCCCTAAACCCACTAAACCGATAAACCAAATCCACTAAACCCCAAAAGCCCTAAACCCACTAAACCGATAAACCAAAACCACTAAACCCCAAAAGCCCTAAACCCACTAAACCGATAAACCAAATCCACTAAACCCCAAAAGCCCTAAACCCACTAAACCGATAAACCAAATCCACTAAACCCCAAAAGCCCTAAACCCACTAAACCGATAAACCAAAACCACTAAACCCCAAAAGCCCCAAACCCACTAAACCGATAAACCAAATCCACTAAACCCCAAAAGCCCTAAACCCACTAAACCAAAAAAATCCAAAGGTTCCACTTCAAACCCAACCACCGAACCAACCAAAAACCCTTAAAAACCCTCAGGAACCGGATGGAATGCCTTAGGCCTCTCCCAGTTTCGTCCTTGAGCCTTTGGGGCTCTTCCATTTGCTTAAGCCCTCTGGAAGAAAAAACATATTTCCAGTAGTGATAGATGCTCTCTGCGATCTTCTGAGAGACGAGCTAATCCCCGTTGCTGAGTGCTTCGAATTGCATCGTTGCAGAAGGCAGCGTGACTCCAAGAACGCTTGGCCTCGTTGCGGATCAGCACAGTGACTGCAGTCCGCGGCTCCCTTGAGCGACTCCGCGCACGCTCACGCGCAACAGCTTCTCCAGTGGAAGCACTCCATCTGCCAGCCTCTGCATAAGAACTAGGACGGTCTGATCCTCAGCTAGGAAGGGCTGCCTTTGCGGTAGGCTTCAATGTCACTGGTGTTCTCCTCCCCGCAGCAGGACGCTCTGTTGGAGGCGGCGTCTATGGTACCTGGAAACATATTTCTCAAAAAACTTTAAAACTTACAGGGGAAAACTAAAAAAGAAACTTTTAAGCAAATGGAAGGGCTTGTCTGGAGTTGCAACCCCCTCAAGAAGGGCCCTTGTGCTCAAGTGGCGGGGGGTCTGCGTGTTCCCGGGGCACAGCAAACCCTTGCTGCCCTTGTGACATTTGTTGCGGAGAACGAGACATTCAATGAAAGGTAGTTGAGATCAGAAGTTGAGATGCCAATCAGAGGCCCTGCTGAAATGAGTTGATTCCCCTCGACAAAATGACTAAAGCGAATCATCTCTCGGGCAAGCTGGCGATCCCCTCTTTCAATCAGCTGGCCACGCGGGTGTGTTTCTGGTCGACGTGGATGGCAGGTGTCCTTTTAAGTCCTTTACCTTTGGCCTGCTATCCCCAAGGTCAAATAACTGCCGATCCCAACCAAAAGTGGGCTGTCCGTTTTCGGATCCCCTGCTAAAAGTGAATAACTTTTAGTGGGCTAAATGGAAACCCAACCACTCAACCAACTAAAAACCCTAAAAACCAAAGGAACCGGATTGCTGGGCACCCGCCAAGATAAACAAAAAGAGGAGGTTGGTTTAAACCAACTTGGGGACAGCCGAGAACCCTGAACAAACAAATACCCTAAACAAAGCAGCTTGCAAAATAGATCCCTTTATATAGTCTCCATCATACTTCCCCCCCTCCCTCCCCTTCCCCCTCCCTCCCCTTCCCCCCTCCGCCCCCCCCAAAGCCCCCCACGCCTCCGCGCTGACCCGCGCCAGGCCCGGGGCCTGGGGCGGCGCCGATGGCCACCGTCTTGTCCCGGAGCCCCGAGGTGTCCTCAGACGAAGCTTCCGGCGGAAGGCGGCGGGACCTTCTTGTGTCCGAGGAGAAAACAAATTCCTGGAGGGGGGAGGGGGGGCAGGGGCGGGTGAAAGTAGGGAAGGTAGGGGGGAGGGGGGAGGGGGGGAGGGTGAAGGGTCCGTCAAAAAACGGTCCACAGCCCAAACTTGTCCGTCAAAAGCAGGAGGTGGCTCGTTTGTTTTGAGTTGGTACCTCTCTTTTTGGGGTGGGTTTCAAAGAGAAAATTCGGTCAAAATAGGGAGACAACCCAAGACAAACTCGTTTTTCTCAGGGACCCAGAAGCAAAAGGTGATCACCTTTGGGTCCACCTCCCCGCTAACAGTGAACAACCTTTAGTGGGCTGAATACGGAAAACCCCACGAAACGCTAACAAGCTAAAAGCCTAAGGGGCCGGATGGCTGGGAGCCACCAAGAAAAGCGAAACCAAAAGGTCGGCGTTGGGCAGGTGAGAAACTGTGAAACAACAAAGGCTGCTGGCAAAAAAAGAAGAGGTGAACATTGGGCACCCAGCCTATCGCAACGCCAAAGGGCCCGGTCAAAGATGGGGGTATCCTTTGGTCCTCCCAACGTGGTCGCGTTCAAACTACGTGACCGCCAAGTGGTGGTCCTTTTGTTTCTCCTGAAAAGACCCCACCGAGGGCGGGGGAAACCTAAGCACCTCAGATCGGATTTGTTCCGACAAAGTTGGTGGTGAGTGGTTTGGGTAGTGCAAAGCCACGGCTTACAAATGTGTCGCGTCAGGTCAAAAGGCACCATCCAAGTACGCCCCCCTTCATTGCCCCGATTGAGACCTTTAAGAGTAGGATAAATGCCGGTGACACAGGGTTCCTTCTGTGTTTGTTCTTCACTGAGGATCTGAATTCACTTAGATTGGCCTCAAAAAGAGTTCCAACCCTCACTTGGCAAAGCTAGTCAACCCTCAAATATGAGATGCCAGCACCCCCACCTGCTTTTTGGACAGTACTTGTGATGCTGGACATGAAAAAAGGTTGTGTCTTCCTTTCGGGAACCCCTCAAATCTGCAATTGTTGCTATCATTCCATAGGCGGAATTAAGAATCGGATCCCCAAGCAAAGGACCTCCATCATGGCTTGAGCTCGTTCTACCCCACGCTAATAAACCTCCATTTGCTCAAGTCCCCTGGGTAAAAAATAAACATGCTTCGTAATGAAATCGATTCCCTTAAAACCAACCAGTGGGGAAATGTAAAAACATATTCATTTCAGCAAATGGAAGTAAAGGTGGGCAGCCTCCCAATCTGTGGTCTTCCTCTTACCATTTCAAAAAACGCAGCCAGGCCCCGCGCCCACACCCGCACTGTCTGGTCCAGAGACGCGGACACCACCAGGTCCTGCGCGATGTGTGTTTTCTTTTCTTGTTTTCCGGTCGACCCAGAACCGAAGCCGTGGACGATGCGCAAAAACGTAGGTGTGTGTGTGTGTGTGTGTGTGTTGTTTTTGTTGGTTCTTCTTTTTTTCCCCGGGAGGCCCCCGAAATTGTGGGTCTTCCTTTCGGTTTCCCTTCTAAAACCACCACAAAAGGATGAGTCCAACTCAAAAAGAGATGAGCCACTGAGCAAGGCTGCGCTCTGCTTTTCTTTTGATGTTGGGGGTTCTCAGAATCATGGTGCTTGGGTTCCTGTAATTCCCTGTAACAAAAGGTCAGTTCTTCATTTTTAGCCATGCGAACAGGAAAGCCTTGCCCTCAGGGATTGCATCAACTGTCCTCTTTGGACAACGAACCATATCCAATCTACCGTCATATGCCGCCAGTTTGACGCCGATGATGTTGAAGATGGCGATAAGATTCTCGATTTGCGATTTGAAGAAGAAATGGCGTGAATACCCGGCAGAGTCGAGAAGACGCCGAAAGAAAGCCGATGAAGGGTGTCTCGATGCGACCCACAAACCAGAAACAATCTCAGCAATCAAAGGGTGATTGTTTGAACCCCTCTGGGTTTGTCTCCAAACAGGGGGACAGGGCGGCGTGCTGTCCTTTTGGTGTCCCTTTAAAACTAACCAAAAGGGACCCCCAAAAAAAGAAAAAACACAAAACCAATGTGGGATGTTGTTTCCGGGTCCATTTCGGGGTTCAGGGGTGGTTGAGGCTGTGTGCAGGGTCTAGGATCGTTGCGGGTTGAGGGTGGGTTTAGGCATGCTTCAGGGGTGGTTTAGGTTTTGGGTTGCTTCCAACCAGGAACCCGACCTGCGAGTAGAACCAAGATGGAGTCCCTTCTTGCTTTCTTCCCATTTGGCTGTAGCTCACAAAAGGTGGTACCCATTCTGTGGCCGCTAGGAAACAAAGACCAACACCTGCGTAACCCAGCACTTTGATTTTGAGCCACGCCCATGTTTCCTCAAACGGATGGAAGGAATGCTTCTGGCTCCATGTCAGGATTTCTTTCGCTTACAAGTCGTCCTCCTTCGGATGAAAATGCGCGCACATCACGTAGTGGTTGTGGCCCGTAAGCACCTGAAAAAGATTTGAACAGCGAACAGCGACAAGTGGGTGTGTTTTTTGTTGGGCGGACCCCCAATATAGCGGTGAACAGTTTTGCCTATTGGTGTCCCTGCAAAACTCACCCCCGCAAAAAAAAGTTGGGTAGCCTCAAAAAAGACGACACCCACACCCCAGAATAGCACCACCTTTTTGGTCAGGTCCCTCAATTTTTTAACACATGCCCAAGATGGAGTTCCCACCAAAGTTGACCTGGATTCTGGAGCAACATGTGTCCAAAATGCTTTTTTTCCTTTTTTTGTCTTGATTCCCGCCTTTGTCCCTTCCTTCGATTCCTTCCTTTCTCATTCTCCTCTGGACTAGGCTGTCCTCAGATCCCCCGCTAAAAAAAACTTTTGGTGGGCCAAGTGGAAAACCCGGATGGCTGGAAGCCACCAAGCGGACACCAAGTTTTGCTTGATACCGAACAAGCTGCGGAGGAGAGTCCGAGGTGGCATCCGCCCTCACATTTTAGAAAAGCCGGGCGTTCTTCTGCTTCAATGCGCAACTTGCGGGTGACGTACTGTGGATGGACAAAATCCTGCACCACTTTGAAACCATGGGAAGCCATTGTTCGTTGGTATTTACAGGGGAATCATTCATTCCAGGGTTTCTCAAGCGGTGCGAAACGGATTTCGTCCATCCACAGTATCAAATCAAGACGACGTACTCCCGGCAAATCCACACTTCACTCAAACCCCATGCATTTCAACCTAGCGCACAGGGCGAGCTCTCGTGATTTCCCCTTAAAACATCACACCCACCTTCAAGGGACACGTACCTTTCATAGGCCAAAACGGTGATGTTTAAAACCACCAGAAAGGGAAATATAGGGAGCCCTGACCCATTGCTTCAACAAATCGGTCAGTTTGGCTCCTTAAAACCAATGAAACAAACGCTCGGTCTCAATGCAGATCCAAAAAAACAAGGTCTCATCCACTTGTGGATGGGCTTATCTGCCTTCAGCCGGCGGGTATGGCATTGTTTGGTGTTTTTTCTGGAGAGGTTGTGCCCCGGCGATGGAGTGTTCGATTCGTGTTCAATTGGCTGGTGTTTGTCTTCTGTCTCTTGTGTTCCCTCCCCTCAAAACTTGCTGGTGCTCAGTAGGGAATGAGGGAATGAACCTAGGGATTGCATTACAGGAAACCATGTGGGATAGTTTACAGTAAATCGGGGGCATTCTCTCATTCCCTCATTCCCTCATTCCCTACTTATCGCACCAGCAAGAAAACTTGGGCAAGGTTGTATCTAGGCCAGAACCCCACTAAAACCTGGTGCCTTCTTTGCCTTTCAACCCTGATCGACCCATGAAGGCCCATTTCAAATATAGTCCCGTGGGTGGCGCGTCCTCGAAATTTAAAGGGAAGCCTCCCCTAAAAAAACTCACCCACATTCTGGCTCAAATCAAGCCACCAGGATATGGACCGCAGGCTTTAGTCCTTGATTCCTCTTGCCAGGGTTCCATTTTAGCTACCTACTTTTGACCCACACCCACATGAGTAGACTCGGGGGTTGGTGCCTCGAGATGTGGGCTACCCCATCTTGGGGCTCGAAAAGCCCTTCCCGGCCGGGAGTCTCCGTGTGGCTAAACCTGAAACGGGCCTGGAACCAAAAGCCAAACAGGGTGTCCTGTTCAGTCGATCGCCCAAACAGATCACCCCTGCATCTAACTAGTTTCCGTGTTCGCCAATGGATGACCCAAAATGTGTTTTTTGTTTTAATTCAGATACCCCCAGCCACACTAGCAGTCGGACAAAGCCATTCTCGTGCCCGGGGATTTCAGAACTGTCCACTTCCATGATACCAATGGAAGGCGTTCCATGACAGAAGCTTGTTGTTGTCACAGCGGAGCTGTCCAAATTGTAGGGGAGGTTTCCAGGTGTCACAGAAGTGGGAACCCCAATTCCCACAACCCTGTTCTCACCCGTTGAGGTCACGGCAGCAATGCAAGACCGGGACCTCACGGTCGGTTTGCAAACCCGCGGCATGGCCGCATCTCCAAATCCAGGGAGAACAAGTAAAGGCGGATATCCGCAACTATTTCCGGCTGGGACTGCCCCTTACTAACCTTCATCTACCCGAATTGGTTCCCCTACACCCCGAAAAACAGTACTTCAGATCGAAGAATCCCACCTAAAAATGTATTCTTGGCCCAGCCAGCACTGCAGGCACACAGGCACCAACTTGTGAGGCGGGTAAACGAAAGCTAGCCCAGCCCAACAACGACTCGGGGGTTGCTGACATATTGAAAAATCGCAATCCTAACTGAACATCCAGTTGGGGTCATGAAGACCTTCTGATGCGACTCAGGGGTTGCCAAAATAGTAGGAACCGCAATCCTAATAATTAAAATCCAGTTGGGGTCATTGAGACCTTCTGCTTGCAAGGTGCCAGGCACGCAAAACGACAAATAGACCGGATTTGGAGTTTCGAGCAAGGCCCCTCGGCCACTGAAGTAGGTGTGCTCTTTAGGGGCCCGGAACCCGTGGGCATGGTCGGACATGGCTTTAAGCATCAAAACAAGAACTGCTCGAACTGCCGTTCCAACGGGTAAATGAGGTCATCCTGTTGCCAAGCGCCTTGTAAAGACCTACAACCATGCTACCATTGCCTGACCACAAAAGCATCCCCAATGGTCTCACAACAACAAGTTGCGTGGAACAAACACCGCCATGCAAACTCCGGGACTCACGTCCATGGAAAAGGAAGACCAACTTGTTGGGATCCTATTTTGACACCTGCGCAAATCATGTTTCAGCCGTGAAGTTGTGGCTCTAGTTCAAGAACGCGCCGGAAATTCAACTGGCCTTTTTCCATAGCTCTAAAACCCTCCGGATACTTGGTGACCGTACGAAAATACATTTCTTCAAGCGCTATCTGCAAATTCACAACGTGGGTGTGTCGTTTTTGGCGACCCCCCAAAGTTGGGGGGGGGGGGGGTATTGCTTTTGGCTTCCCTATTGAAACCACCAAAAAGGGGAACCCTCAAAACAGATAGACCGTCTGATAGACCCATGTACCCATTTCTAAGGGTATGTTGAGGGTCCAGGAAGACTTTGGGACCCCTCCACCAACCAAAACAGGGATCCTTACATGAGAAACACCTGAACATTGCCTTGTAAGTGGTGGTTTCAACCTTTATTTTGGTGTTGAAAAAGCAACATGTTTCAAATGGTTGCAACATGAATTTATTTTAAGGAGCCTTGTAAAAGTAACCTGGATGGCTGGGAACCACCAAGATTGTAGGGCACCAACCATAGGTGTCCTTTCAGGGCAAATAGTTGGATTTCCCTGGATCGCCCTCTATCTTTTTTACTAAAACAACCAAAAAGGACACCTATGGCACCAACTCCTACCAGAAACACATCGACTCTCCCATGGCTCCCGGACTGCCAATTCCAGATGCGAATGGTCTGGTCATCTGAGGCGCCTGAGAACCGAAGACCGAAGCTGCATTCCCAGCGGCCAATGTTTTTCGTCTTACTCTAGAAAACGGCTTGGATGTGGCGAATCTATGGATCCACCGGTTGACGTTGGAAGGGGAGCAAAATTTTAAATTTTAGCAGTTAGGTGGGGATTTCACACTAAACCACAATAAGCAAAAATGTAAAATGTTTCCCAACAACAACCATGACTCTGTAGGAATTTAACAGAGCACTAAAAGCGCATAACCACACCGTTTTCTAGACTTACGTCTGGAGGCCTCAATGTGTAGACATGTGTGTATACCTGTAATAGCTATCAACCCTAATCCTAGGAGTGCGATATTCTCTACCACCATCACTTTAGTCAAGAGCAAACAGGTAAAATGGGAGCACTCAGTGTATACACATAGTATGTATCTCCTTGGGATGTTAAATAGGGGCTCGAGAACCTACCTTTATCAGGTGTTAGCTGCATGTTGCGCCCTCTCACCCAAAAGCCAAACTAAAGCAAAGACACATTTTCCGGCAGTTGGCCGAACTCCCCACAGAAAACCATCAAGAGAAACACAATCTAAAACACAATAGCATTCCCGTCATTAAGCCCTACTCCACACTAGGTAATCAAGAAGAAATATGTTTTCTGCCTTTAACTTTCTCACCGGCACGCGGTCCCTGATCACGAAGTCGATCCTTTCCACTGTGCTAGTGTACCGGCCCTCCCCGCGGCAAGTGTACTCAATAGAGCCTATCACCCGCGGCTCTGCTCAGTTGGGTCTCCTTCATCAGCGTGAGCCCGGGCACAATGACGACCTCTCCCGGGGGCGAGGAGCGCTCTGTCCATGTCCCGCCTATCGCCGACGGAGCGCTGGTATTTGAGGCTTTGAGGCTGCACCCCACGCGAGGTCGCAATCGCTCCTTGATCACGGCTTTCCACCGATCGCCGGAGACCTAGATCTGCGTGGGCAGCAACTGTCCCCACATGTCCAGCCATGGTGGGGGTAGGATAGTTATTTTGTTTTGGTCTAGTGGACATGTTGCGCATGTCCCAAAAATGTAGCGCAACATTTTGGCCAAGGGTACTCTTTGTGGGGGTTCTCAAGGGAAACCAAGGGCGAGCCACTTGTCTTTTCCTATTGCGGGACCAAGCCGACTGATCAACGCTCTGCACCCCTCTTCACTTTTGGTTCGACCAAGATGTTCGCATGGGTATGGCTCCTAATTAAGCCACCGTGATATGGACCGCAGGTTTGGGTCCAGGGTTCTGTTGTCCAGGGTTCCGTTTTCTGGTTTGGGACCTGGACTGGACTTGTGGATTTGGCTGGGGTCAATCCGCCCCCCCCCCAATAAGACCTAGACTGGACTTCTGGATTTGGTTGGGGTCAATGGATTTTTTACGAATCCGAGCGGCTCAGAATCCAGGGATACTCGTCATGGAACTCCACAGTCCTAATGTAGTCCAGATGGCCTGCCGATCGATTCGAGGACTCGTTCCCAAAGCAAACCCGATCCGAGGACTCCCACGGC